GAAGCGGGCGTGTCGGGACACTGCGGTTGAGACAGACCGCGCTAAAAACGCCCTGCTATACAGTGGTTAGACTTAATGTCCCCTTTTGCACCCGCATACAGTACGCTACCGTAATAATTGCGCAATGTAGGCATCAGGGCCTTCGCAGCCACCTTAGGTGCTCTTTCTCCAAGCGATAATCGCATGTGAGGTTGCAAGCCTATGTCTCTTCTGGCTACTGTACCGGTGCAAAAGGGCCGTTTTAAATTTAACTCCAGATTTTGAAGCCTGTGACTGTTACGAGCTTATCTATTTGCGCTATAACTAATCATTAAAGGCTGAAGCGCTTATCACATTAAGTATCCCCATTTGCAACGATACAGTAAGCGCTACCGTATCACCCGGACCTTTGGGGGACAAAAAAGACGACGCGGCTACATCTCCAAGTGGTTTCTAAAGCGATTTCGCGTGCGACATCGGTGGTAAGTCCACGCCACAGGGCTTTACGGAATGTTAGCTTACTGTAGCGGTGCAAAAGAGCTCGTTTCATACTTGATTTAGAATCTGAAACATGTGACTGTCATAAGACTATCTTCCTGCGCTCTAATCCAATATAAAAGAGTCGTAACGCCAAATCAAAACACCAGATAGCGGATATCCGCGGTGCGGTCTTGAAGCGCGGATGCAAATCCAGCACCTTTAATTACTGGTTATATCCCCTCTTGTAACGCATATAGCATGCTACCGTATCCCGCAGGCCTTTGCGGGACAAAAGTGACGCCGCTCCTTGAGCACAGCATGCGACGTCGCTAGTAAGTCCATGCCACATTTGCCGCGGAATGCTAGCGTACTGTAGCGGTGCAAAAGGCCGTTCTTTGTTTGACTCGAAAATTTTTGGTTTTTTTTTTTCAAAAATGGATCGGATTGTGGTCTACGTACCGTCCCATGGTCTCACATCTTGTATAGCAGTCCTGGTGGATCGATTGTCGTGATACATGGGATCTGGCCAGCCGCGTATAGCAGTTTTTGTAGACTGATCTTGTGGATACATGCGTACAGCGGTTCGTGTTGAAGGTAGACTTCGATCTCTTCGTTCATACATGCGTGGATCGAGATACATGCTTGTTGGTGGTACACTTGTATCTCTTCTTGGTTTTTCCATGCGTTGATCAACATAAACACTTGTAGTCCTTGTAGTTCCACTTCTTCGTGGATATGTCGGTATGGCAGTTCTCGTAGAAGGTGCGTCTCGCTCAGTTTGTGGATGATACTTCCCTGCTGAAGATGTATATTCAAAACAAGGATAT